ACACAATTATCATCAGGAATGGATTCAGACTCTGAATCATCAGATAACTCAGCTCCAGCTCTTAATTTGAATTCAAAATTATTTGCATTATTATTTTGTGCTTTTATGATTTATATAAACAATTAATTTTTCATTTTATTCATTGATTAATCTCTTTCTAATGCTTTCAATGTATTTATAATTCATTTGCTTTTTTGTCTAGTCAACAAACTAACCCTGCTTTAAATTCTATAATAATAAAATTTATTTAACCGTCAATACTAAGTCTACATTGATCGAATTAAATCTTCGGTTCATATATAACCCATCTAAACTTATTTTAATAATAATTTGAATCCTACTGCGAATAATATTTATATAAGAATAACTTCAGTCAATGTGAATGAGAGAGAACAAGAGATTATATCATATTTTCATTCACCCACGCTATTAAATCCAGCGATACTGCTAGAGAACTCAATTTTGTATTTCGGAAGAAATCATCGAAACCGACATTTTAATCTTTTACTTGTTCTTATCTATACTCCTTTTAAATTGAACTTAAATTAATACAACGCAATGAATTATTGAGTAATAAAACAAAAACTGAGAATATTTTTATATTACAGATGAATAATGAAGTAGTAAAAAAGATGATTATATTATCCTGTTGTCACTCTTAATTTCGTTCGTAATACTTTATATGCATACTTGACACTCAAGTGACATCATTCGGAAAGATTTTCAGAGGTATAATTTTTTTTTATTAAACTAAACTATTTGACAAATACTATAAAAGAATTTATCTCCTATCGAATTTAAAGAGAAGAAAAAGAATGCAGTTGCAATTAATATTCCGAGATTTTTTTTATAACAAATACTTATGTTCGATAAGTACTATAAGATAAAATTATTCATGAGAATATGCAAGTAGCTTGAAAAAATCTAAGTATTATACGACAATCATAATTCACTTTAGGATATAAAAGAATATATTTTTCAGATATTTAATTTTATTTCTCCATTTCTTTTTTCAAGGATGAAACTCTTTATTACTATTGTTAGTCTTTATGTAATTGGTCTTCAAGCAGTACCATTAGTTAAAGTAAGTCGCAATAATTAACTGATAGATTATATTATTAAAAATACTTATTTAGGAAAATTATGTTCGTAATCCAGAAGAAATGGGTAAGTCTATCTTTTTGAGATTACTTCATTTTATAAATATCGAAATTTTGTTTTAGGTGGTCATTTTCAAGGTGATATGATTTTTCCTGATGATATACCTGTAAATTTTTCTATATTTGAATATTTAATATGTATATCTTTTTTTTTATATAATAAAAAAAGCGTGGAGCAGCTCATAGACCAACATGGCAACGATGGCCGGGTGGTTTTATACCTTATGATATGACAGCATCTATTTGTTTGTATATTCTCATTCAATTTTTCTTAGTATGAAATGAATTTTTCTATTTAGCTTTTAATCACACTATACTCATTACAAATGCTATGAGAAGGATGGAAGAATTAACACAAGTAAATAATCGTCCATGTATACGATTTCGTCCAAAAACGGATCTAGATTCAATATTTATCACGATAACAAATGGAAGTGGTTGCTCAGCTCATGTATTATTAAACTAAAATATTGTTATTTGAAACAAAAAAATTGAATTATTGTTTTCTTCTTAGGTTGGTTATCTTGAAGATTATACATTAAATCGTACTCTTACTTTAATGCATGCACCACCTTATACTTGTATGATAACTGGAATCATTCAACATGAACTTCTTCATATATTAGGTAAATTATTTTCTAATAAAGTTATTCATTATTAATATTTAAATTTAAGGATTTTTTCATGAACAATCTCGTCCTGATCGTGATGAATACGTTTCTATTCAATGGGCTAATATTATTAACGGTAACGAAACTTTTTTTGTTTTTAATTCAGTTATATAAAATAAAAATTATATACAAATAAAATATAGGCACAGCATTCAATTTTGATAAATATACCGAAGAGGATATTGATACTCTGATGTTACCATATGATTATGGATCTGTCATGCATTACGAAGCAAATGCATTTACTGTTAATGGACAACCAACAATAATACCAACGAAAAATGCCACTGCATTTATTGGACAACGTGTTGGTATGAGTGAGATAGATGTTCTTGAAGTTCAGCGATATTATGGATGTCTTCCTACTCCAACAACAACAACTACCACCACTACTACAACCTCAACAACAACAACAACAACAACAACGACAACGACAACGACAACGACAACGACAACGACAACGACAACTACTAGTGTTACATCTTCAATGACCACTGCAAAATCGATTAGTACAAATCTCCTTCCAGGAAAAGCTCTGGCAATTTTACTATGCGGTGTTGTTTTTTGGTGGGACTCTTTCTTCTATCAATTAAATAATTTGTAAAAGAAGATCATTAATAAATTAAAACAAGAATAAAAATAATATCGATATTTTGAGTGAAAGAGTAAAATTGTGTTTAATTCGAATGTTGAATACAAATTCTTTCTAATTGATTGACTAATCAAATAAAAACAATGAATATACTCACAATTTATTTCTTATAAAACAATATACAAAGAGTAAGAAGTTTTGTATCTGTAATTGATTGTATAGTTTTGTAATCAATTGTATATCTTTTCTAACCGCTCAAAATTCATATTTTGATGACTTCTGTATCGAATATCTATAGACATGCTATTCAATGTTAACAATACTTTTTTTTCGTTCTTATTCACTTATTACGTATGATATCAATAAAAATATCCAATAAACACTCATATGATTCAAGCTCTTTGTTCGATTCACATAATAGAACAATTGCATTATAATACTATGCATTTAACATGATCAAATTGAATAATAAAAAGTAATCAAATTAGAATTCAAGAACAATATTTCTTATCATTAATATCACGACCATTTTTGTTTTAGTTTTACATATAAGAAAGAAGCATTTTTTCTAATCAATATAGTTACATATTCAAAACAGCGTGATCATAACTTGATTTATTATTGCTCGTGTATTCATGCTTGAATGCATTTACTTTTCTTTTTTTTTTTGCTTCATCACTATACATACACATATATTTTGTATGTTGCGAATAGTTGCTATTTGATAAGTTCAATATTTCGCAATGCCTTTACTGAGTACATGGGGTATGTTTCGATGGAGTTTATTTATAACTGTTCTTATAATGATTACATGGATATATTTTTATCATGATCCTGCTCCTCCAATGGTCTTACCGGAAATATCAAAAAATACATTCGAATTTATTCGTCA